GAATCCTTGAATGTAAATACATGCACGCCCTGAGGAGGGAGGGTGAAGGGGGTGTGTCCCAGGAAGAGGAAAGAGTTCAAAGTCATAGAATTAGGAAAGGCGTATGTACCGGTGGGGTTGTTTGTAGAAATAAACCCTGTTATTCATCTCAACAAGAATTTTTGAGTATTGAGTTCTGGACATCTTGGATGTCTTACATTCAGATTTCTCTTGTATACACTAGCCAGGGCTAAGTTGTAGTTATTGAATAAAATGGCTAGTTGTTTTTAAAAGGAGAAGTTAAATAGCTGTACATTTCTGAGAAGAGGCATGTAGTCAGACTTGAATAAAAATGTGAAGCAGTGGATTTTAAAAGGGGGGGAGGGCTGATGGCAATTACACAGAATGAGTCAGGCAATAGAATGGGGCTGAGTCTATGTTTCAGTGGGAGGGTAAGATGGAGCAGTAGTAGGCATCAAGTTTCAGATTTCTGGCCCAGCTTCTGAGGACACAGCTTGGCACCCCTGGGTTCTCAAAGTGATACGTATGACTATTAAATGGAATAAAGCAGATTCAGTTCTGAGACACCAGATTCCTTGGCACCTGTTTGCATGGGTGGCATAAATGGGGAGGTACAGAACACCTGGATGTAGGGAGATCCCTAATAAACCATATGCTCAGAAGTCTGAGGAGTATTTAGGAACTGCCATAAATTATCCTCATGTATTCATGACACAATCAAAGCAGAGTCCTGGTTGAGTGGTTTTCATGATTTGGTCTAATGATCTATGTTGATTCCCTTTACGAAATGCACATGGTCCAATTACATATTTCTTCCATCCTGGGTTAAAGATGTCCTTCTAAAGGCCCATTCTACCAATTTATAGGGGATATAAAAAAAGGATTTTCAGTAAAATGTACTTTCATTGGTTTTGATGAAAAGGGTTTGTGATGAAAGTAGAATCTCTAATAAGCATTTCATAAATGACTTGTCTTTCAAACTTAATATAAAACAGAATAAAATACATCTCCCAAAGACCTCCTTGCTGCCTCACAGATTTAAAGTCCCCTGCTCTCAATCAATCAGGCCCAAGAATTCAAAAATCTCTAAAGATGCAATCAAATATTTATCAGTGAAAGTTGGTAAAACTAAGAAATTATTTATGGCCCAAATTTTGAAATAGTCATACTTTGAAGGGGGAGGGAAAAATCACATGTTGGGAACTACACATTTCTCTTTAGGGCACAAGCCCCCAGATCCTCGCTGCCATCTAGAATTCAGAAACAAGAAGGAAATCACAGGTTTGAGGGAGTGTGTTCACAACTGGGTCTTCAACCCATTTTTCGGAAACATTGAGAGAGATGTTGGAAAAGCAGTCCCCTAATTCTAGTAATTTAGCCACTTACCAGCTAATTAATTATTTGGAAGATAAATAAATTATGCATCAGCCAAAACTCTGTCTGACCCCTACAGCTGCCCTGCATGGCCTTTCTGTCAATATACAATTCTACATGGCACAGCCTCAACTGAGAATGCCCCCCACCCCGAGAGTGGATTAGCTGCAGCATCCTTTGATACCTTGACCCTGTAGTATATGAGTCTCCTTTCTTTAAAGGAATTCAGATTGTGATAAACTATGACAAAAAAAGAAAAAGAAAATAAAGAAATAGATACTTAAGTCTCCAACCATCCTTTTGAAGTTCAAGACAAACAAAAAATTATTTTTGTGCTGACATGCCAATTCCTGTGTGTTTTGTGATAGTTTTGTATTTAGTTAAGCTTAATTTTTTTCCAACATTGTATCATGAAATTTACAAATGGAGGAAAAGTTGAAACAAGTGTTCAGTGATCAACCTTATGCCCACCACCTAGATTCTACCATTAACATTTTACTATACTTGTTTTATCATATATCTATCCATTTACCCAGCCCTCTACCCAACCTATTTTTCGTGTGTGTGTGTGCACTTCACACAATTAAATTTAATTTTAATGCTGTTTTAAAGAGAGTAATTGTTAGCAAAGACATTTCATTCCATGAAAGAAAATTCTCAAATTGTACTTAGTAGCACTGAGCATGCTAGTTAAGAGGAGAGACTGTGAAATCTCAAAGAGTAGGCATGGAGCTCATCTCTGCTACTAACTGACTGTGACTCCAGACAGGTGACTATCCCTCTGAGTCTCATTACTCTCAGGTGGCACTTTGGAAGATGATCCTCATGGGGTTGCTATTATGAGAATTCAACATAAGAGATGAAAGATGCTTATACTTTTATAGTATTGGACAAATAATGTGGCTGCTTTCTTTCCCTGTCTCACTTTCTCACTCCCTTAACAGTATTCTCTTCATCTCCTAAATAAACCACCTGCCTTCGAATTCTTGTCTCAGGGTCAGCTTCTGGGAGAAACCAAAGTGAGATAAGTATCTTTATGCTTTCATAAATACAGAGTCTCTACTTCAAATGGCATCCTACACTAAAGTCTGATATGTGATATTTATAAAATTAGAGCTGCCTGACTCAGAGAGTTTGGGTGGGTGGGTGGGATATGTTTCCTTTCTCCCCACCTCCCCAGCACTTTCTGAAGACACCCATATACTCTCTCACAGTTCAGCAGAGCATCACTTGTTAGCTATTAGTGGAGTTGATGAAGGTAAGCCGGTGGACATAAAGGAAAGGATAAGATGAATGAATAAAACCAAGCAGGCACAAAGAGGAAAAAAGCTCTTTCAAAGGCATAAAAAGCATAGACATACTGCAAAACCTATTCACAACCAGGTGGTGCTGATGCTGCTGGTCCATAGCTCCTCTTAAAGTAGGACTGGTTTAGGCCAGTGGTTCTCAACCATGGCTGCCCATCAGAATCACCTGGGATTAAAAAAAAAAAATACTGATGCTTGGTTCTCACTCCTTGACCAACTGAATTGATCTTGGAAGGTGGAGCCTGGCATCTGTATTTTAACTGCCCTAGGCAACTCTGATGTACAGTGAGGGTTGAGAACACCAGGCTTACATAAAGGTCTAAAGAGCAAGATGCAACTTGGTCTCTGAAACTGTGTGGGGGCAGAGCCTTGCAGACTTGAGGAATCTGGCCCTTGGTGAGTGCCACCCTTGGCTTCAGGGACACCTATACAAGGGCCATCACAGTGGTTAGGGCTGTCCAGAGGCAGGGCTCATCAACCCCACTGCTGTCCACTTGGAACAGCTCTGCTTCCTTCTGCATCATGTCCTGGACTCCTGGCAAGATTTTGCTTAAAGAAAGGTATCTTTGGCACAGTGGTAGTTTAAAATCACAAATATGGTGATTACTAGGACATCGGATTATTGATGCCTATAATTTCCAACAGGAATAGATTTCTAATAGTGCAAGTTACCCTCACTTCAGGCCCAGGTCACCCCGAAACACCCCTCTTGTAGATCTTTCTGTGTCCACTCCTCCTGACCACTCTGCTCCCACAAACCATTCTCTATGAGGCTGCCTGGGGGTCTTTCAGCACACACACGGGGTGAACTTCCAGTGGTTTCTTAATGTGTACACAATGAAATTCCCACTCACCATGGTCTCTGGAGGCCCTACGACAAGCCAGCTTCTCTGACTTCAGCTCTTAACACTCTCTTCCTTGCTTGCCTCATTGCAGTCATCCAGACATTTTGCTCCCCAACTATGCCTCACTCTTTCCCACCTGCAGACCTTTGCATATGCAGTGAGTTCTGCTAAGAATGCAGCCTCCCCAGATCTTCCCATGGATGTCCCTTTCTCATCTTTCCAGTCTCCAGTCAAACACCAGGGTCTCCAACCAGCATTCCCAGCCACTTGTGTGAACACTTCTGTCCATCTACTCCCTGGTCTGGCCATTTACTTTCTTTCTGAAGAGCTGCTTCTGCTCTTCACAGAATTTCTTATCCTTTGCAATTTTCTTGTTTGTTTATTTACTCATCAAAATATCTGTCTCCCCACTACCATACAAGGTCTATCACAATCGGGGCTTCTGTGCTGTTCATACCAATAGTCATCCAGGCCCAATGTTGGAGTCTGCCATACAACAGATGCTCCTTATTTATGTAATGAATGAATAAATAGTCCAATAGCACCAGCCATTAAGGTCATTTGTTGAACTAATCACCACTGTTCAAATTCTGTGATGACCAAAAAATACTAACTGGTTTAAATTTGATTCTCCCCGTTGGCTTTTCTAGGGGAAGAGGATGTGTTGACCAGGCACATCAGTATTTCTGACCATTTAACAGTAAATATTTTTTCCTGGAGAAGTTATTGCCCTGACTCATGCAACAATGTTTTCTGGGCCTGGTTATGATGATTTAGTTCTTTTGATCTGGTTTAGTTTTTAGAGAGCTGACCCTGTGGTGCTCCTGGACTTACACCTTTGAAAACTAGGATCTAGGGGCGCCTGGGTGGTGCAATCATTTGGGCCATCTGACTCTTGGTTTTGGCTCAGGTTGTGATCTTGGGGTCATGAGATCAAGCCCCACGTTGGGCTCTGAGCTCCACGTGGAGTCTGCTTAAGACTCTCTCTCCCTCTCCCTCTGCCCCTCCCCCTCCTCTCTCCCTCTCTCTTGAATAAATAAACAAATCTTTAAAAACAAAAAAAGGAAAAGAAAACTAGGATCTAAATAAAAAGGCCATGTATCATCACATTACTATACTAGTATAGTATAGTAGAGTATCCGGCTGGTTGCCTGGACGTGATGTTAAAAGCAATGAGTCTATTTCTTAACAAATGACATCTTATAGACATAACTTTAGCATTGTTATCTGCCATGTAGCTCTCCAAAGCATGATATTCAAAGGGGTTATTATTGCTTTTTTGTAAATACCTTTTTGTTGTTTGATGGATTTTTGTCATTCTTTTATTGGCAAAACCATCATGGCTTCTTATCATAGAGGAATAGAGACCAATTTCAGGTGGCCACAAGGCAGTCAAAGTCAGCTTGCCTTGTGTATGCTCTCCTCTTAATAAAAACATGCCTTTGTTATGTCATTTGTCTTTTGTCTGACTTACCTTGCCAACATCTCTTGGGAAAGGTTGTCTCTGATTCTCTGGAATTAAAATGGGAGATACCACAATGGACCTCTTTTGTCTTGGGACAGGAGAAGTTCTTGCAAATTTAAATATATCCTAAAAGAGAAAAAAACAAAATCAATTGACAAAAGTTCCTCACGGAAAGAATGTATCAGTCTGCTCTGAGATATGGTTCCTTTGTTGTGAAAGCATACAGCTGTTTGGACATTGTTAATTTTATTCTATCAAACCTCATTAGCGTTAGCAAGTACATCGTTAGAATCATACTAAAGCTGACATTGTGATTCACAATGACTATCATTAAGCTCTTTAATCCCATCTTCTGAATCATTCTATTCACAACGTCAGTCTTGATTTATACATCCTTCAGTACTTGTATATTCTCGTTCTTAATCTGCGAAGTGAGGAGATTACTCACCTGATCACTAACCCACAGAACCCACTGGATATAAAAGTGACTCTCCTCATGGCCAACTGCAAGGTCCTTATGCTCAAAAATGAATAGGGATGAAGGGGCAATCACAAAGGTCCAAACTATATCAGGCAATATGGGGACTCCTAGTCAATGTTTTCTCGAGGACTATTTGTTACTATTAGTAGGTCACCTGTTGGAATGCACTACCCATGCTATATATTTGTTCCAAACGTCAATTATTGGAACAGCACTGTCAAGATTTCTGCCCTGTCAGTAATTTACCTATTCAATGACATAAATGTGTGCAAAAAAGGAAACTCTGTATCATAATTTAAATGAAGTACCTGTATTGCTTTCCATAAAAAGTAGGAAAACATGAAAATAAACATACTGGAGACCAAATGATGGTATTCAATTTGAGCTAGAAACTCAGGGGAAAAAATAAGCTCCTCTTTTCCTTTTTTAATTTTTTTTAAAAGATTTATTTATTTATTTGAGAGAGGTGGGGGAGGGCCAGAGAGTCTGGAGCAGACTCCATGCTGAGTGCAGAGCCTGATGTGGGGCTCGATCTCACCACCGTGAGATCAGGACCTGAGTTGAAACCAAGAATCTGACACTCAACGGACTGTGCCACCCAGGTGGCCCTAAGATCTTTTTAACAGGGAGATAAGAAAGGGGTAGCGGGGCGTTAAAGGGTTGTGAGCACCAAGCTGAGACTTTCCCCTTGATCTGATCAGAGGACTGAAAGAGAACTGAAAGGGGAATATCACTTTCAGTATATAAACTAATCTCAGTCAATGCTACCTACTAACCGAAATTATGTTATGTACCATCAAATGTAAGCGTCTCAAACTTTGGACAACAGGTTCCTAACAAAATCAGGTGGCAAATGACATTTAAGTACCATCACTGATCCATGCCCCACCAAAGTATGTGTGTATATGCATGCATGTATGTGTGGGTGTCCGTGTGTACAGTTTTAAAGGAAAATCTATATAAGAAAAGTCAAATAGGAAACCAGATCAACTAAGGCTAAGAAAGCTTCTGTAATTTTTCTCTAGATTTTGGTGGGAGTGTAATCTGATGGTCCTCTTGTGGGAAGCAATCAGGCAATATTTAGTTACGGGGAATCTTACAAACATACATACCCCTTCACTTAGCTATATCACTCCTAGGAACACGTTCAAATGCTAAATTCAAAAGAAGAATAAAACTTATGCAGGAATGTATCCAGCGAGACATTATTTATTAAGGGTAAAAATGGCAAACCACCTCAATGTTCAACGGCAAGACAAAGTTGAATTTGGGTCCATCATCAGGAGACACTCTTAGAAAGTTAGCAGTAATGCAGCCTTGAAGAGCATGTTCTAACCACGACTACCACATTTGACTGCTTCCACAATCACCACCACAGACTGCTCTAATAATAACAATTTCTCACGTGTGCCCTGGGCAATGTGCTGGGCACATTACTTGTGTCCACTCTCATATTTGCAGTTAACTTCTCAAGTAAATCTCGTCCCTCCTCAACTAATGAGGAATATCAGGTTCAGAGAGGCCATGCGACTTGCTCAATTCACCTAGCTAGTGGAGAGAATACATAGGAGAAAATGTGTAGGGAAGCACAGAACACCATACTAGGCACTTCCGATCTTACATAAACCATAGTAAGCATAAAAGAATAACATTTAACATCTCAATGTATGAGTGCAAATAAAGACCGTTTGGTTTCTGGGAAGACCAAATAATTCTATTCAGGTAAAGACAGAAAACTAGAGTGTTGTATATGTAATGGAGTGAAAATAGCAAGGGTTAAAACAACAACAACAAACCCACCCATCCAACCACCACCACCAACAAAGTAACACAGCCCAACCAGGCAAAAGCAGCATAAAGAAAGAATGGAACAGACCATGATCAGACAATGAAAAACCCAGTGGATTATATTCATAGAACACTGAGGTACATAACATCTGTGAAGATTCTATTGGTTTGTGAGGGAAAGGCAAAGGAATAGAAAATATGTAAAATATGTACAACATATGAATCTCATTTATAATAAAAGAAATCTTGAGGTTTAGATGAGAGAATGTCTCAGCAAGCACTCCGAAAAGACTTAAAGTTCTATGCAAATATGAGGGGTTGGTGATTTGGCTCTGTGACACGGCAAAGGTAGGCTTCAGTTCATGATGACGTGTGTAATGTTTCTAAAGTAATGAAAAAGCATACCGTGTTGTAACAAAACTTTCCATTGTTTTGTAGTAAAGGGCTTATTGGTGTTTGCAGGTCTGTGGATAGGTGATATTTTTGTCCTCATGGGGACCTAGGGGGTCAGGCTCCCGAGTCCCCATTCCTACAGCTGGTGGCCTCCCCGCCTACCAGTGAGCCAAGCCTGCAGTGGCCAGTCCCCGTCCCCAGCTCTCACGGCATCCCAGAAGCTTACCAACCAGCACAGCTGTGTCAGCTCTTGGGTCTAAAGTGCCTAAGAAAAGAAGCAGGCAGCTCTGAGTCTCAGAATGGCAAACAGCATGTGTAGAAGAGAGCAGGGTAGAGGGTGGGAATGGCTGATTAGTTAGAGATGCTTCCGTGTGCATCCGAGAGCCCTCCATGGTGAGCGTGGGAAGGAATTCTGGGGGGCAGGACCTCCTGTGTCTCCCAACTTTTTGCCTCGCAATGGCAGGGACCCCAATAACTATTTGTCTGTGGCTGTGTTTTCATGTCAGTTGCTCTGTTTTTGTCTTTGGCTGTGATTTATGTGTAAATCTACAACTACGTGTTTGTTGACAAATGTCTACCTTGATACGTGCTCCTGTGTCTTTGATCAGGTCTGTGCCAAAGGGTTTGTGTGCTCTGAAGCCATGTGTTTCTGTGTGATGGGGAGCACATAGGAGCCAGAGCATCTGATGTGACTGACAATCATACACCTCGTGCAGATCTAGACAGGTGTGCCGTGCAATTGTGTTCATGCCCGACTGTGTGCGCTTGTATCTGTCAATCCAGGATGGGAAGCCTCTGAATGCACCAGGCTGCGGGGGTAACCTCAAGGAAAGAACACAGAAGCCAAAGGAATGTGAAGAATCCGACCAACCTAAGAGCTGTTTATAGAAGGAGAAGAGACAGCGTGTGGGAAAGAATGGAACATCGGGGTAAAGGAGCAGCTGTGTGAGGATTTCCTGACTTCTGATGTTGCCATTACCAAGACAGTGGGCGAAGAGAAAAAAACAAAACAAACAAAACAGCAGTTCTGGGCACAGGTGCTGCATGCTGTAGACTGGCAGACTTGAGGGGCTGTTGGGCATCCAACAGAGATTTCTAGAGAGCACAGAAAGAGTTGTCTTCGGGAGGGCGCAATGACTGAGGGAGAGAGATGTCACAATCACCCACGTACAAGGGCAGCTGGACAGAAAGGAGAAGCTGACACCACCCACAGTATGTCAAGAGGGAAAGGGGAGGGGCTCAACCATTCGATGGGTTTCTAAAAGGCCAGTAAAAGCCACCGAAAGGTTAGGTGGCAAAAAGGGGGGGAACCAGAAGGATGAAGAGGTAAGAATGTCAAGAAGGAAGGGGTTGCAAGGCCGTATCACACAATGCAGACATCCCCTCCAAAAAGCCGAATACCATAAGGAGGTTGTTGGACTTGACAATGAATAGGTATTGATTTTAGAAAGAGCAGCTTAACAGTGTGTTAGGGTTGGGTGTCAGAGGAATCAATGAGAAGCGAGGGCTTTGGTGCAGAAGGTAAGGAAACACGGAAAGAAGTTTATCATGTCAGTTATTAGAGGGGAGGCCAGGACGTGTGCCGGGCCAAGGAGGAAAGGGCTCGCGGAGGGAACCTGTGGCGTGGGGTGAGCGCAGGGGGCAAGTGATGAAGGTGCGTGCCCATGGGGATGGGACAGGGTGGATCAGCAGCAGTCAGCCCGAGCAGGGAGGCTGGAAACTGCTCTTCTTGAGGACAGAGAGAGGGTGAAGGGGAATTTCTCATCTGTAAAGGGGGATAATCTGCCCAGGCTCTTGGTTCTCAGAATGAAATGAGAAGCTGTGCGTGGAAGCGCTCTGTGCTCTCCAAAGAACAGCACAAAAGTGAAGGATGGGTCTTATTAATACCAGGACAGGGATGTGAGGAGATGAAGACAAGCCACTCAGTCCCTTTTACGAGTGAGTAATTCAGCTGTTGGTGGCATAAGGCCAGATCTTAACACAGACACACATAGACACACAGATGCCTCAAGATTTCCAGATTCACTAGACACCTGCACACTAATGTCAAAATTCTCATCAGACACAAATGCTCAGGCACACCACGTGTATACACACACACACACACACACTCATGAATAAATACATATGCAACAGCCACACATGACAAGCCTAAACCCAAGGACACATACGACACACACAACACACCTTCCTGCTTCAAACCGAGGCAGTTTTCTCAGCTACAGGGGCACACACACAGGTGTGTGCCTCCCATGGGGCCCTCCCTACGGCCCTGCAGTTGCTGGACGATGATCTTCCGCATCTTTGAGCCTGGAAGAGAAGGAGGCCTGCAGCAGCCTCATCCAATCTTGCTCCAGTCAAAGGGGCAGAACCGTGTCCTCGGGGAGACTCGCTCATGCACGACTTTATTACAGGAGAATCATCCCCCTTCCAGAACATCTCTTATCTCCTGCGGGCTCACTGG